GAACGCAAGTTTACCCCTTACTGCTGTTTTCCAAACAGACGTAATGTACTGCGTGAGGAACTTCGTTAATAGCTTATGAAAATATACAACATAAATTACGAATAAATTTCGCTAACTCTCAAGTTTCAACTTACATATTTGTGTACTTGCAATTAAATGTATAAAGCTGCTGGGAAGCTTAAAACAAAATTAAGATTTTAATCGAGTGTTTTATTGATGCGAATAACTGACTTATTCAAGACAAGTTCGGTACAAGTTGATACTTTTCTTCCACGATTTTTTGCACAAGTTGCATTTTTCTACCCTAATACAACGAAGGCAAATTTTAAATCATTTGATGTGTCCCTTCAATGTCGCGTGTACTGTTTGCTCAATTACTCGTGATTCGCCATGTGTATCCTTCGGGGCAAATTAGCTTCATATCTCTGCTATGTATGCATAACGTAGATGACGTTTATTCACTGCCGCGCGGCTTTACCAACCGAAAGGTCTTGTACTGCGCAGTTGTACGTATGTAACGTATGTAACTTGAGGTGCGAGAACACGAGACGCAATCTCAAGATTCTATTAAACGGTGACGATTCTACGCTTGCACAGCTTTTATTTGCTGAGTAAAAATGTCAATGCAAAAATGTTAAAGTTGTTCGATTATTTTTTTTTTCTTGAAAATCAATGCAATCTGTACAGTTAAAATTATTGTACTCTCGTTCTCGAAACTTCATCTAATCCACATTATTCAGGGCTATATCATTTATTGCTATTTTAACGTCAAACGCAACCTTTATCAATAATGTGATATTTAATTACTTCAAAGTGCATTCCGACTTTCGACTATCGACTAATTAAAGTCAAAATGCTTTATCGATCCGGCTACCTATATTGCGACATAAAAAATAATTCACTAGCAAGTCTGCCAATAATCGTAATGGCCAGCTTTTAATTACTCAACGATCGTTCAGTATTTAATATAAAACTCACGCATCCTCTGCGTCGGACACTATTTATATTTGCCAAAGCCCATATGGTTGTGTGTATAGACCGACCTCAACTATCCCTTATATCAGCTCTCTGCGCGCGATACGTCGAAGCTAAATTAAAACTCCACAGGACAGCGCGAATACAAAAGGCAAAGTGCATAGGTTGCGGCGTTGGCGACGGCGGCTTTTGAGAGGCATTTTACAGTTCGCGACAAAGTAGGTAACGTTCTAGGAACGTGCCGAGCATCCATTATATCGCATTGCCGGGACCGGTAATTCGCCCGCGAGCGAGGGAGCGAGCAAGCTCTTGTACAGCTATTTAACACATGTACATTGTATATACATCGTCGAATGACAATTTGCCTAATCCAAAGGGGAGATAGGGCCGGTAAAGAGTCTCGTATGCGCGCGTAATGCATACAATATGGTTGAATTGCATTTACAAGCTGAATAATTTACGAATTGTCATCGTTGCACCTTACGATAACGTTGCCGCTGCCGCTTTGCGCCTCGAGAGCCCATTATATTATTTTACGCGTGCAGCTGCGAGCGCACACGTACACGCACAAAATCGTATCTCGACGTAATTCGCTATTAGCCCGCGAGCGCATTTACAATAAAAAGAGGCAAAAGATGCTTATTATATGTACAAAGTCGACTGTGTGACTGAAAAGTGAAAAGCGAACGAGCGAAATTGCGTACACATAGATGCTCTATAGCGCTTGTAGGACTTCGCTTGTAAGCGAGCTCGGGGGCCTCTATGTACGCCTCACTCTGTCACCGTTGAAATAATCTCGTCGTTTTCTGCAGTACAGTAACCTTATACGCGTCACGAGGGGTTCTTTTAATACCTTCACTCTTTTTCTTCCACCATACCTCTCTCTCACACTTCCTTCTCTATTCATCCATTTTTTTCTCTAGCTCTATTATACTTTGCGAACGTTATATACATGGTAAATATACCGACAATAACCTCACGTATTCATAAATAGCAATTTCAGTAAACCCGATAAAAAAAATTTAATTTAAAATAGCGTGTGGTATATAGAACGTTAATTATAATTTATGGAATATTATAAAATCGTCGCGCGTGAAACTCTTCCGAATTTTCATCTTTCATTCAACGATCCATCTGACTAACGTCAATTATGGGTTTTTGAGAGAGCTATATATTTACGAGACGAAATTCGTCCGGTAATGCACGCCTCAGAGTATTTAGAAAATCAATAATATTACAGATATATTGGAACTCGATATAACTCGAACTTAACAAATACTATATTAGACATTAGATATACACTAATAAATAATTCCTTTAGATAACTCGATACGCCGAAAATCGTGTAATATTTCTTTGTTTTAATTACTGTATCTCACGACGCTTGATTTCCAACTATTGAAATTGTGATGGAAAATCTGAGCTATTATAATGGTAATTCAGCTCTTATGTTATTATTTGATATTTTGCATTAGAATTGAAATTTAATGACCAAGTTATTTTCTCACTGGCAGTAGCATAGTAATTATATTATCACTTTATCGTACGTATAGCATCTAAAACAATCGAAACAACACAACATCAAGCTTCCATTATGCAAATTACCGCGCACTATCGCAATCGAATCTACACAAGTGCAATATTTTCTAGAAACATTGCACATAGGGCCCTTACCCTTTCAAGCGTATTTACGCTACTTCTCCTATGCATGTGTGCGTATCTATATCCCAAAGCATCGATATATACGCTATACAGAAGCGAATGCATCCAACAAAGGCAAATTAGAGCCATATGAGAATCTACATGTACGGCTTCGTAACTTGCTGAAATGATCAGACCACCATATACACGTGCCAGTATAATATGGCAGCAAACGCGATTCGGTATAGAATCATCGGTGATCATGAAAGCTAGATCCAAATTTCAATCTGACTTATTTCTTCAAGTATTATATGAGTACAAATCTGCTAACTGCATCTTTCATTTATTACCCACTCACACACAAACTCGTGCTGGGCAAGAAAAATATCTCTGTGTCGGTGCGGTGAAAAATATGCTAATAATGGTCAGTAACATCGTGGTGCCTTTTTTTTATGGATGCACACCGTGCATGTAGCTCACTGTCATGACGTAGATGTTATATAGAAAAAGAGAGAAGAGAACCAGCGAGAAAAATAGAAAGAGAGAGAGGCAGGATATTGATTTTTAGATTGCGTATTGTCTACTCTATATGCCACTTGCTGTGTCAGCAAAAGGACAATGATTTATCGCCGTTAGTATATGACATTTTTTTTGACAATTGCTATGGTTTCGTTCAAAAATTTTGGGAAAAGAATTGAAGCTTCCGTTCGCGAGCCTTACCAACGCGAAGCACCGAACGACGTAATAAAGAATTATTGATGATGCAATTTTCGATTTTTGAAAGTAACCTATACAAAGAAAATGAGGCAAAACTTATATTTTTAGTTTAATGCCGTATGAAACGAAGAAGAGATTACGAGCTTTTTATGATAAAATCATCATCCCATTATACTTGAATTCATGTAAAATTTAGATCATAAGAGAAAGTAAATGAATATGGACACAAAAATAACTATACGATATTATTCAGTAAAAATAACCGTGAAAGTATTTTCAAAATTTTTAATTACTTACAATTCTTCAACGGTTTTTTCTGCTGTTAACTTTTTATTTTAATCAAATTAAATTTTCGACGCCCTGGTTAATTTAAAATATATAATATTAAAACTGTAAGAGCTTTTGAAATTTTTACTGATCATAAGGATAAGGAAGCTCTCCAATGAGTCAAAGAGCAACAAAATAAAGTAAATCTTAGAGATTTTTGAGAACATTTTTAGTGAAAGTAGCACGAAATGTGTGAGAAAATTTTTATTTTAACCACTTTCAGTCCAAAACTACCCAGCAACATAACTCTTTTCGAGGCTGTATAACTAATGTGATAGGTGTTTTTAAAGTTTGACCGTTTTTATTTCCAATGGTAATCTTTAAATCGCGCTTAAATGGTTAACATTGTGAGAAAATATTTTAAAGTTTTACAAAAATGATAAGTTGATATTTCTCTAGAAAAAATCCACTAAAGTATGAAAAATAATTGCATTTCAGGCGCCACTTTGATAACGCCATGGAAAAAATCTGGTATGAAACCACTGCTATTCAAAAAAAAATTGCAAAAAAAATTAAACTAATTTTTCACAATATTAGTAATATTTAAGCGCTATTTGAACGGATCCAGTGAGAATAAGGACTTTCAAACTTTAAAAATTTATGTAGGATTCAAATTTTCTCATGCCAATTGAGTTGATTACACCGTTTTGAAAAATAATACATTACGTTACTCGTGCTCGAAGTGGGTGATTCTCGCACGAGTGACGTATACTATTTTTTATCACGAGTTGCGGGAAGTTTTTATTTCCCACACGCTGTGATAAAAAGTTATGTTACGTGTCGAGCCTAGATGAGTTTATATAGTAGATTCGTCACTCGTCAAATAAATATCAATATGAAAAAAGGAGTCACAAAAAAATCTAAAGTTAATAATAAAGTTTGAACAATTAATGTTTGAACATAAAGCTATTATAGAGTTATATTAATTTTTTCTACAATTGTACAAATAATTGTTTTTAAAATTATAATTTTCAAACCAGTTAAAATCTCTCGAGAATACACAAATATTTCTTTGCAAATACCCGAAATGTTTCTCAATGTTTTCAATTTACCAAAATCACAGACGCATAATAATACGCCTTAATAATGATACTGAAGCTGGGCGAGGACGAGCCTCACAGCAACTTTATAACGAGACTATATTCAGTTAGTAATTTCGCGTATATGTCAGGCACTTCGGGGTGTATTTCAGGATTGCGCTGCATATGCACTTGGAATACATGTATATATCAATAGAAATAACAATAACCTTATATCACTGTTACTGTGGTGCTGTGTATGAGCCCCGAGGTGTATAAATTACAGACATGTTTTATTATATGCTAATGTCTCTTTCGCAGATATCGCTGGTGGTTATCTCTGCTTCGTCGTCAGTATCGTGGGCATCGGCGTCGTTACAGCCATCATCGGCGACGTGGCGTCGTATTTCGGCTGCACCCTCGGCATCAAAGATTCCGTCACTGCCATACTATTTGTTGCACTCGGCACCAGCATACCAGGTCAGTAAATGACATTTTTCAAAAATTATATAATACATTGAAAATATTTAATTTATACGACCAATTTTTCGAAACTAAATGTGAATTTTTTTGCCTTTGGCTATTGTGAAATCTAAAAATATTAAACGTAACAAGTATTATAGTTAAAAAACAATGAAAAAAATGGCAATGAATAAGCTACTCTCAGAAACAGTCTCAGACCATTATCTTGAACACAGTCTTTAACGTGAAATACGCGCTCTCGTTTTCTCTCTCTTTCTCTCTCTATATATCTCTCTTCCACGAGAGAGTTATAAATGAACTATTTCCCACGACAGCGCCGAGAAAAAGAGAGAGAGATGAGAGCGCTTTTATCGAGAAAAAATCCATTTGGCATTGTTACTTCAGATTCGAGTTCGTTTACGGAAAATTCACGCGCGATCCGCTCAACGGTCACCGCTATTGTTGAACTCAATCGGGGCTATCACCGAAAATTCAGATCATTAAATTAAAATTGCTGGCAAATTCTACGAATTTCCGCGATTTTATAATTATTAAATAATGCATTTGATGCTATTCGTAAAATAGTCTCTAATCCGCTTAATAAATCGAATGTGATGAAATATTACCTCGCCTTTAAGACAATAAATATTTATATTCAATAATCGCTTTTTAATGTCCCCTAATGTAAGTAAAAAGAATAATAGATAAAACTTGACAAATTGAACTTTTTATAATATCAATACATTAGAAAGTCCTTTTTTAAATGTTCTTTCAATTTATCGTTTGTTACTCATAAAAAAATGCGTGTGAAACTCTATTTGATGACAGTTTGTTGTATTGTGAACGTTAAAAATCCTGTGGTGAGTGCGATATTACTAAAAGTATCCAAATTTAATTTTGTGACAATTGATATTGAACAAATCGAAAAAGCGTATCAAGTAACATTGTTCATTCAAAATTTTAAAAAACTTCGACCCAATATCGAAGACATGAAAAGTATAGATTATTCAATCAAAAATATATCTAAAAAAAAGCCAACAATTATTTTAGAAGAAATATCTGCTTTATCAAGCAACGAGTATTTTTTTGAATCACGCAATTTGAATTTGAAATATTCAAGATTCACGTCAATGTTAATATCGATTTTTGGAAAAGATAAAAACAATCATCAAGTAGACGTAGAGGTCAGTTGGCAATTTAAGAAAAAAATCGATTTGATAACCAATACATCGCTTCGGGAAACAAGGCCCCATTTTCTATTCATTTTATTATCCAAGGAAGGCATATCATCAAGGTCAGTTAACGCTCTACTAGAATACGCGTGGAAAAATAAGTTTCTGGACTCGACGATTCTCCAATATAGTCCTCAGCCTGACAGCGGCAACGAATGCGTCAGTGAGCTCGTAGCGCGTACCTACAATCCATTTACCAAAACTCACTCGTCGACTTGTTACACGAATGCAGCCGACTTATTCCCGAACAAATTGCGCAACCTCAACGGGTACAGGCTGAAAACGGCCCTGATACCTCGGCCGCCAGCTGTAAATTTTGCACGAGACAATACCACGGGTCGACCGATCGATATAACGGGCACAGATTTCGCGACAATCCGTATAGTCGCGGAATTCATGAACTCGAGCCTGCAATTAGTGACACCCGACATAACCGGCTACGCGCAGCCGATCAACCAGAGCTACCACAGGAGTTTGCTGGAGGAAATAGTGAGCGGTGGGCTCGACTTGAGCGGCAATCAGATATTCGTGATGGCCGGCTCGGACCGAGAACGCCCGGGCACCACTAGCGTATCCGTGTGGTTCGACGAGTTCGTTGCTCTGGTACCGGTGTATCCGTCGCCAGTTCTCAATCTGAAGCTCGGCCCGTTTTTCATCATGCTCAGCACTTTGGGCCATGTTGGCTTTCTTTACCTCTTCGCTAGATTGGGGCATTTCGAAGTGCGTTGCTGGACCTGGCTGCACATTTTGCAGATGCTACTAGGCAACGCGTCACCCAAATTGCCCGCCAGATTCGTCGAGCGGACCATGTTCTTTTGGATTTTTTTACTTAGCCAGGTGTACTCGGTTACGCTCTACTCGCAGCTCACGAAATTCCGCCTGAACGAGCGCGACGAGGGCCCGTTCGAAACGATCGACGATATTCTACACTTTCCCAACATGAGTCTCGAGACGAATATGAATTACATAAAGATTACTTTCGACAACGACGACGCCCAGCTCAAGGCGCTACAGAAGAAAGTTCGTATCGTCGAGAACAACATGGACTGCCCGGTCAAAATACTGGCCGAGAAAAATATCGGCTGCCTCATCGATAAATCTGTAGCCGTCAACAGCATCGAGGTGAACGACAAGACCGGCGTTGGACCGGCTAAAATGAAAATCATGAACCACGTATTCTGGAGTGCGCCGAAGGGATTTATTTTTTCTGCTAGATCCCCCTATCTGCCCGAATTCAATAGGATTTTACGAAGAATTGTGGAGCACGGCTTGTGGCAGAAATGGAGGATCGGCGATAATGCGAGGCTGCAGCAACGAGCGGATCCAACCTTCAGAGTCAAAGAAAACGAAGCGGATTTCGATCATCGTAACATGAGAAACAAACTGCTGTGGATTTTGTTCACGGGATACGCGGTCGCTTTTATTGCCTTTTCCAGTGAAATTATTGTTCGTATTGTGAACTCAAATAATATCATTAATATAACCAATTAGATTTGAAATTGTTTACACCCTAATAAATAATTACTTTTTTAATGTTCAACTTAACTAGAAATTTTGTTATTGTCAAACGGCATGATAAATTACAGAGCACGCGTAAGATAAGCTACATGAAAAAGCAGGAAGGAGCATTGATAATTGATGATATATATTCCAAGAATTGTCCGAGGAGAACAATGAGTCGTTAGACCATTGAATTTGCTAAATGAACGACGTGCTGTCAGCCAAATCATTTGTGTGAACTTTGCGCCTGTAAGTGAGCGTAGTATATGAGCGACTCTCTCGATAAACAATTCATATTTACTTATTCAATCGCATTCGTGCTGAGATTATATAATGGGGTTAATGGAACTAATACGTATATTAAATGATTAGTTTTTGAAAAAATGAGAATATCTATACGCAAAATCCACGAATGCAAGATTGTCTTTTTTATTGGACTTTAAGTAATATACCTATTTTGAGGTCCCTCAAAACAGTGTTATTACCTAAATTTATAATGACTGTTGTATGTCTTCATAAACATCTATAGTATAGATGTACGGGCAAAGCCAAGTCATGTAAAAAAAAAAGTAAGTTTAAACTAACTGTAGAAAATTGAAGGATACATTGAAAAATAAAAATTCTCAAAATTTCAGCCCTTTTTTTATAATGTACGCGAACAAAAAAATATAGTACGCGGAGCTTACGAGCAATTCAGGAAATAACCGACAGTCCAATATTTATATAATTCTAATAATAATATTTGATGCAAAGACAGTTGTCAACTTCACGTAACTGCTCGACTTTTACCGCAATGTACAGGCGACAATATTGCGACTGGAAAATTTAATCATCGAAACAATCTATGCTTTTTGAAGCCTTCGTAGCCCTTTCAGAGGATTTATCGGTGAAATTGGGTTTTTTGTTTCATCCGCGCTCTTATTACTAAAAATACCAATATTTAAATGCGTATAGATACTTTCAAAAAAACCATCTTTGTGCGCCGTTGAGAGCAAACTATGAAACGCTTCGTATTCGCATAAAGCTTTGAAAATATATCCAGATTTTTAGATTAAAAAAATTGTCATCAACAATCAACAAAAGAAGCGTACATATTGTCTCGTTTTTTTATTCTTACTACTTGAATAAAATAATTTCACTAAAAATTATACAACTTATATTGCTTCACAAGTGAATTCCATTTTCATACACTCTTTGGATTTATTTGAAGAATTAAGTTACTTGATTAAATTCACGTTGCCTTTTCGTTCCCGATTATCATTATTTTCTAATTGTGGAATGAAAGAAAAAAATAATATTAAAGTTACTCCATAAGTGATAGTTCAAATTATAGTATATTGGAGATTGACCTTAGAAATTATTTTGTATTTTGTATAATCATGAGAATAACTATGGGATATTTTATCGATCATGAAATAAAGATAGCTAGTTACATCTTTGCAAGATTACGTGCAAAGTTATTCGCAAAAGATTCGGCACTTGTATACGATTCAACAAAAAATACACAGACAGCGTAATAATATTTTATGGTAATAATAGATCAATCCAAAGCATTTCATTGCCTTCAAAAGTATATTGAAAATCACCATGAAAAACAGTAAAGCCATAGTTGACTAATACGAATAAAAGAACATTGCTACGAAAATGGATCGATATAATAAAAAATTGTCATCGAACCAAGACGAGTTTTCCACTCAAGACTTGAGCGTTGTATTGATTAGAAATCATCGGTATAAAGTTGTATAAATTTATATCAGCAAAAAAGCACGCACAAATAAACAAACTTATCTGTGAATGTGAACAGAGTCTGTATACTCCTTGGCATAAATTCAATCCTATAAGGCAAAACCAGGTCAATTCGATGCGATTTAATTTTCGCCTTCTTCGCCCGAGTAGTAGTAGAAGACTCGAGCTACAGGCGACGGTATATCGGTGCTTTGCTGCAGGAACGCATTTACATCTACTATCTCTGCTGCAATGTCCCTTGAGTGTTTCTGCTGCAGGAGTTCGCCGGCTTGTTGGAGATCATTTCACAAAGATGCACAGTGTGATCGTCGCTTATACGCGACTTGAGTTCACTCCGTCTGACTTTTCGGCTCGCGTATAAATATTCATAATCGCTTTTGCACTGATGAATTTTTTTCTATTTGTAGGTTAGTCATGGTTTTGTACACTTCTATCGTTTTATAATTGTTGTTTTATTTTAATTAAAATAACCGATACTGATTTTTTTAACGTATGTGAAATCCTTGTTGTAAAAGAATGTATGAATACTGATTGGTCTTTTGTGTTTATAAATGGTAAAAAAATGAATGAATAACAATCATAATTAAAGTCAACCTTCATCGCTAGTATGCAAGTACCATTATCTGTAAATCTGCACGAAGGAAAGTAAATATAATAAGTAATTTCAATTATATAAGTATACAAAATACACATTAAAATTGCGATAAAAGGGCATGCGTGCAGTAATCGATTCTCTCACGCAAGGCGTCATCTACATCATCACCCTGGGGCTAGTTCGTTAGCATATATACGCGCGTGCACACGTACACATACTGGTGAACGAGAGATTTGACCTGAGAAATTGTTAAAGCTACAGCGCGAGGTTTATCGAAGGGTGCCTGCTTGGGTACCCTTCGGAGATGCAGATAGCCCCTTTCAACTTCTGAGAGTGAGAATAGAGTTTAGCTGTTAAGATTCTACGTGCTTTATCGTTTCGACAGATTATATATACATGAACTGGCTCCTGTGTATCTCTTTGAACTCAAAACAAGACAGAAATTTCGATTTAACGATATTTCCATGGATACTTTTTAAATTGGAACTTATAAATTAGAGGTCACCTCTGTTCATAATTTTAAGGGTAAAAATAATCCTTCTGGTCCCCGACACGCTTTCAATGAAATTTTCACATCGAGGTTTCCGAAATCTTTGATGCGCAACCATTAGCGAATACCTGACATATATTTGTAAAATCAAATATTTGTCTCAACTGTAAATGAGATTGTAACCGGGTTCGTATAACTGAAAAGTTATATCTATAGATTCGGCTTAATTTGATAGATTGGCCAAGACGAAAGGCTCCGAGCGTTAGCCCCTTAGAAATTTACGAAGATGTCACGGAAAATAAACACGATTGTAAATAATTTGAAAATCCTTTTGCGTGAGTCCATGAAAGAAAACAATTTACGCTACTGCTTCTATCGTGTAAGCAAGCTTGTATATTTGATATTTCATTAACCATGAAATTTTTATCAGTGTAATTTCATTTTTCAAGTTCCAATCATTGTAAAAGTTACTCTATTTTTCTCCACTTCAGTGAAAATGTTTTTTCACTACATGATTTGAAATTCAACCGGATAATCGTAACAAGTAGTGGTTTGGTGCAGTATCGTTAGAAAAAAACCTCCTGATGACAAAAACCAAACACGTTCACTCATGAAATAAGCGAATTTTTTATAGTTATGAAAGCTTCATTAAGATGTTTTCATTAAATTTGCATGATCTTTTATTTTGCATAATTCAGCCGAGTTGATACAACAAAACTTGAAACGGGAAACGATCAAATATAACGATAATGTTTGTACGTTATAATACGACTTTCAAAATATATGATTTAATTTTGCACCAATCCAGAGCACAAAGGCACAAAATACCTTTTTACTTAAACCATAAAAGCGCGAGAACATGAAAATCTTAAAATAAAAGTGACAGTACAATTTCTGTTGATTCCGAATCCTATCAAATTTGAACTGAAAACAAAGAAATGTATTGAGAATATTATTAAACACATTGCAGCCTTCACTCAATTCTTCATTGCAAGTATTATATTTATTTGCTATAAAAGCAACAAACTTGTCATTGAATAGATCATGAAAAGTTTTTTACTTGATCATATATTTTTCTCTCCATCTTCATTAAACTCAAGCGAATAACATTGAAAAGTTTAAATGCTCAATAAAAATGCGTACTTTTTGCTATTTTAGTGTAGAAATCTTGATAACTGTACGTATATAGAAGATGGATAAACCGCATAATTAAAATCCAAATCCTCTTTCAATCTCCGCTATAACAAACACATCTCCCAAGTTAGAGCGCAAGATTTCGCCTACCGTGCGCGTGTATCTCTAAATCCCTTATCCTGCGAACGCGATACCTTAGTTCCGTTTAAACTTCGAACACAGCTTTCGCGTAAAATACAACCTTAAATAAATAAACGAGTTCTATGTAAAAAAAAACATAAATAAATAGATAAAATCCTGGCCTGTATGTACGCGAAACTCTGTATTTAGCTAATTCTTGCGGGGTTTTTCCTCGCTGGCTCCTTATTTCATTTATTTTTTTTTATCGGCTCTCTGACACTCTGTCAGCTTATCCAGTTTATAACCACGGTAGCCAAAATAAAACGACAGTTATTTTTTATGGCTCACACTATATGGTAATCCCAGAGGATAAGCTGCTTCGTTCCTGCGTATATATAATACGCGTAGATGGAGAAGCGATACATGATTGCATAAACTACCACAGGAAGAAAAGCTGCACTCTCGACTGAAGTAGTCAATCAATCGTTACAAATCTTAGAAAACTTTATATTTAATTTTTTAAAAAACCAAATCGATGACTCAACTAACTTTTCTCTCATTTTTCGATTTTCTTAAAAGATTACCCGGAAACTCTAAAAACACCAAAAAGGTCACCTAAGGCACATTGGATGCATGCGTGAAATTTTAATTTTTTCCTAGAAAATTTTAATTTTCACCCTCCAAGTTCCAAAAGATTACATTTTATCCAGAATTTCATACCAAAAAATGTTCATAATGAAAAGATATTTAAAAAGTTTACAAATGTAATTATTCTGTTTAATGATTTGAGAAAATAGAAAATTAATAAGACAATATTTTCAAAAAATATTTACTGCTTACGGTCATCCTTATTTCTGAATCCAAATGCCTCAAGCTAACAAATCCAGAAAAAAGAAGTTACAACTTTTATTTCGGCGGACTAACTTACGAAAAGCCTCTCCTAAATCAATTTGCGGTGAACAGTGTATTTATTTATTATTTTTCAATGCCTTGCGCTCTTTACTGTCGTTCGACATGTACTCATGGTTCAACGCTCGCTTACACCTCTGCTAGTCCTGCGGGACATGCCGCGTAAAAAAATAACGTCTTGTGCTAGTTTTTTATTTTTTTTTATTTTTATACATCTATTGATAATCCAAACGGAGAGATTTCAAAGCCCTTTTCGTTTTTAACAATCTCATCGCGAGTAACAATACTCTCCAGAACTGTTAAGTGGAGAAAACAAATATGAAATAAAGTTTTGTAAATGTACATTAAAATTCTTGAAACACGGTATAAAAGCATCGTTGCTTATCATGCCAACTTCACTTATTGTTTAAGCAAATTCGCGGATCTTTTGTTTCAAAAAATTTAGCGAAGTGTCAAGATAAAAAATATGTTTCATAAATTGACTTATTTGTGTATGATAAGACAAAGAATAAAGGATCAATAATTACAAATTCAATCAAAAATTTAAAAATTAAATAATTACTATAATAATGATCTTCAATAATAGTTCAATGTACAAAATTTTGCAATAAATATCCCAGATTTAATTCGACCCAAATGTATTTTCGATCTTATAATCTTCATTAATTATGCTTCCAATGTACCAAAAACATCAATTAATCTTGCTCGAAGCCGAGACATGTGACCTAGACACCAAATGGATCGTATTATATCGTCCCATATAATATTACATTCGTCGGCCTGCATTGATCGAATACTTGAACCTATTGTATAATATAACATGTATAATATGGCACATTCCATACCCGATGTTTACCAGTATGTGAGGGAATTTTTAATTTAAAGAAATTATTGTTTTAGTCACTGTATGTAAAATTATTCCGTCGGAATTTTTTAAGTATTCTAAAAAATTCGATTCTGAACATAAATTTGCATGTTGCTGAACACTAAAGGGATTGGAGTTTTGTTTCAACAATTTTTTTCAAAAAGAAACAATAAACCCGATCACTTCAACACCCGGCACTATTAAAATTCGTGATCGGCGTCAATTATACATCAGCAAATGATGAAAAATTCCATAGGAACGATATTTCTCGCGGTGGCAAGAATTTTTTCCTGGACTAATTGAATGACACTAATTTCATCACTTTTTATAAATTCAGTTCAATCTAAACTAATTTGTAAAAATTTGAATATACAAATATAAAAGATACTTTAAATGATCGATATTCATTTGGCTGTTTTGATGCGCCCACGAATATGAACAGGAAAAAGATCGTAAAATTCAAACAGCTCTCTAGTCAAAAAGTACATATCTAGGATAAGTGCCGCGTCAAGCTTTTATATCTAAACCGCAAGACTGATTGTCGGGTACGATTTATTGCAGACACGTTCGCGAGCAAGGTGGCCGCCTGCCAGGATAAGTACGCCGACGCCAGTGTGGGCAACGTGACCGGAAGCAATGCCGTTAACGTCTTCCTGGGTATCGGCATCGCGTGGAGCATCGCCGCCATCTACCACAGCTACAAGGGCTCGGTCTTCAACGTCGATCCTGGAAAGTAAGTTGTATCGAAATTTAAATTATTGTTTTTCCGCGCACTTATTGTCGCAATTTTTAACACGCAAAGCTCTTGTATACAGTATACGAATAATCAAGTCACTCGAAAGAAGTTTCAACTGCTCATTAGGCATAAAGTTAGCTGATTGAACTTTCGAAAATACTTGGAAATCTTTCGAGAAACACAACAACTCCCTATGAAGTATATATACTGCTTTGGGGAAAAGACAAAATAATTACTGGATTCGTTATCGTTATCAAGCTTAAAAGTTGCCCTTTTTGCTGCTTCACCTTTTCATTCTCTACCTCCATACTCTATGTAGATATAATTATTTGTAACATTTATTGTATACTTCATCTTTTGACGAAACAAAATTTTGAGTTTAAACAATGTTCACGGTAATTTAAAAAAAATGAAAGATGTAGTGCATTTTCATATTAAGGGGAACGACCTGTGTTAAAAGCTTAAATTCAAAAAATAGATATATAAATCGAAATAGTGGAAATTTTTTTTTGTGATCGTAAAATATGTTTATTAGACGCCTGATTAACCAAAAAAAAACTTCTATCCAAGCTCTGAAATGCCAATTACGCTTATTTTTTCATAATACTAAATATTATAATAGGATTCACTTGCCACGCGATTCTGACGTGAGCTTTTCATCAATATTGATCTATGGGGTCTCAAAATCTTCAGAAAAGTACCCTCATCCACTTAAGCGGAGCAGAATTTGAAAAAAAAAAGTTTGTTTTTCTTCCAAGAGCTTTAATATGGCTTCTAGTGTTGATAAAATACTAATTTTCTCAAAAATTGGCACATTTTGACGTGTATATAAAGTTGTACGCAATTTTTCAAAATTCTGCTCCGCTTAGGTGGATAAGAGTACTTTTCTGAAGATTTTGAGACCCCATAGATCAATATTGATGAAAAACTCTTTTCAAGATCATGCGGCAAGTGATTTATAACACAATATTTCGTCTTATGAAAAAAGTGATGTAATTGGTATTTCAGAGCTTGGGTAGAAGTTGTTTTTGGTCAATCTGGTGTAGAATGAACATATTTTACTATCACAAAAAAAAAAACCGCTGCCAATTTATTGGCAAAGAGCTTCCTCATAAAAAATAATATTAACAAAAGGCATCGGATATTAACTTAAAAATTCGTAATTTTAAATTTTGATTCACTGTCTAGTATCCTAAGTACGTTAGATCACGACCATCAGGACCTACATACACACTATGTTATGTTACACACACACTACATTTCTATATTAGCCAAAAGGCCGAGAAAACAACAACTCGTACAGACATTTGTTGGTAATTCAATGTAGTTTCCAAATATATAAACCAAATTGTCCTACGAGGTCTGGTTCAAAATCTCGTTTTCAAGCCTATCACAGAGCTCCCTCTACGAGGAAGCAATTCCACTATTTCGATTCATATAGCTATTTTTAGCTGAAGCTGAATTTAAGCTTTTAACACAGGTCGGTCCCCTTAAACTTAAATTTAACTCACCCTTATAAAAATATCCTCTACGATCCCGCCAAATTCCTATAGGAATCCTATAGGATTCCTATAGGAATTTCGCGAGATCCTATAGGAAATTTTTATAAGAGCACAGACATTTAAAGTTTTTTTTTTGAAAATTCTGTAAAAAAAAAACGATTTTATTTAAAATGCAACAATAGTTAATTGAAATTTCCTGTTCTATAAAAAAATTTGCATAACTTGATTTTTATATAATATAATAAAACATTAAAATTTAAAAATGAGTGAATTAAATATAATTTTATAGTCACATAACTGCTTTCTGCAGGCATACAGCTTTAAAAAAAGTACATGCATACTCAGTGTAACAGCTCCTTAAAAAATATATGTCACTCGTTTACTGCTGCTTTTTATGCATTTTATCGATTTCTACTTATAGTAAAGCACGTGAAAGGATTTTAACAGCAAAGAAACTATTAAGGAATCTTACAATTGATGTGCACATTTAGATATCGATCAAGTTCAAAAAACAATGAGTTTGGCTAACTTGAAACAACGCGTAGAAAGGGCTTATGTAGGTACTATTATATGGGGTGACGAGAGAAACTATTTTCGATCAGGAGTTTACGGATACTTTTACAGTATAATCAATCAATTTTCAAATTACTTCTGAAAGATTGCCTGATAAGTAACAAGTCATGAATTCCAAGTTGGATCTGCACAAGCTAAAACAATCTTACCGTTAAACTAATTTGAAGTTAAGAAAATGGAAATTTTAGTAATTTTGATATGCTCGTGGAATTTAATACAATAAAGAGACGAATTTTATTTTTGTTTTTATCCAAGTGTATTTCATGAGTATCGAGCAACTCTGCAAAAAATTTAAACAATTTGAAAATAACTTACTCGGTTTCCAAAAAAACTGGACAACAATAATGGAATGGTCAATTAGCAAATTGTACAACAAAGATCTCACCATTGTATCAGCGCATGTAATATCTGAAATTAAATTCAGTAGTTTTCGTCCGAATTATATAGACATAAACTTGCGTGTATACAAGAATCCTAACCGAGCTTTTACATATAATATGTATCCACGCGGGCCAGCAAGAGTTAGCTCGAGTGCGCGGCGCAGGGTTACGAGCATGCTTTTAATGCTAATTCGTTCAACTTTCTCTCCGTGCATAAGTAACAGCCATGACCATTTGAGCAAACTTTTTAATTCAATTCGAAAACTTTTCAGTTATACCTAACGCGCGCATTGAATGAGCAAAGCGTGGGCAAGAGAAGCGCGTAAAAATAATTTAAAAATAAAAAAACAAGTCGACACCGCGCATTACTACTGCCGGTGCGATATCATTTCCTCGTTTACGAGAAACACGCGCAAAATAGTGCAGAAAATTATTTTTCTTAGTCTTGTCTTGTTATTCCAAACACAGGCGCTTGCTCGTAATAAGTATATAAACGTGTACACATGCCAGCTAGAAAGAAAAGTTCGATCTCGGCATTATATGGCCGTATCATGAAAATTGAAAAAACGTTGTTGCATTAATAAACTATACGCTCATATCGTGAATACTCGATAACGTGAGTTTTTTTTCTTCTTGCTTCGCGATCTCTTTATCGGCTAGCTTGAGAAAAAAATTACGAATCCTAACATAAAAGTAAACTTTACCTGCGCTATCAGTTTTGCTGTGTAAGCAATTTTTGAAACTTTTTACAAAGCTAAAGCTCGCAAAGAAGATAATTTGATTGTACTTTAAATGCTATTCATTGAAATACACACTATACTGATAAATATGGCCGATTCTCTGTGAAATCGAATGGCCAAAAAATTTTTTTTTCTGCAAATATGAAAAACTTGCTGTTCCCGATGTCAGAAATGTCCCCAAATTTTATTAGAATTTTTGGGACTATCTATCACTCTTTTTCAGAGGCCCGAAGTTGGCCATTTTAGGGTTCTTTTGAAATTCATGAAAAATCACAAATATTCAAATAATTCCTAGATCAGGGTAGAATGATTCAAAAGTAAAAGTGCCCAGCAACTTTTTTGTTAGAAATTGTCCAAATTTTCAGAAAAAAAATATGCCAAAGTGATTGGAGCCACCTAAAGAGATCATAGTGGGAAAACATACAAAAAAAATATAAAACAAGAAATCTACTCGAGTTCATTTCCTAAACTATGTAAAAAGCTTCCCAAAGATGTCAACTAATGCCTGATAAAGTTTTGTAATGGGTCTTAAAGTTTAACGCAATGTAGACAACAATGTGTGGCGAAAAACATGCAAAAAAGGTCGAAAATAGGCCCAAAATGCCTAAAATCACCAAAAACAGCCATTTTCAGTCCTTTTTTGCATGTTTTTCGCCACACATTGTTGTCTACATTGCGTTAAACTTTAAGACCCATTACAAAACTTTATCAGGCATTAGTTGACAGCTTTGGGAAGCTTTTTACATAGTTCAGGAAATGAAAGTCCGGTTCGAACTCGATTAGATTTCATGATTTATGTTCCTTTGCAAGTTTTTTTGCTTTATTTTTTACCTAGATTGTTCCAATCACTTTGGCATATTTTTTTTCTGAAAATTTGGACAATTCCCAACAAAAAATTTGCTGGGCACTTTTACTTTTGAATCATTCTACCCTGATCCAGGAATTATTTGAATATTTGTGATTTTTCATGAATTTCAAAAAAACCTTAAAATGGCCAACTTCGGGCTTTTGAAAAAGAGTGATAGATGGTCCCAAAAATTATAATAAAATTTGGGGACATTTCTGACATCGGAAACAGCAAGTTTTTCATATTTGCAGAAAAAAAAATTGTTTGGCCATTCGATTTCACAGAGAATCGGCCATATACATTGAAAACCCAAAAGCTAATAATTATTTCATTCGCACTTGTGCCTATTACACGAAACAAAACCATCACGTTACCCTAATTATTCGACGTGCTTAATTTTTTCGCATTGAAAGATCTTATAATATGAATTCATATACAAAAATACAATAAGAGCTAAATATTTCAAAACTTTCATACCACATGCATAAACTATAGAACCGTTAAATATATATGAGGATTTTTTCAGGTCACATTATTTTTTCTTTTCTGCAAAAAAAATCTATGCATAAGATACTATCTATTTCTATTTTTCGTCTAAAAAATTGTTGAAGAATATATTATATTAAATTTAAAAACTTGATTGTAACTTGAACTAATGAATATTTTTCCATTATTACGCAGCTTGGCATTCTCTGTGACGCTGTTCTGCAGCGAGGCTTGCGTCGTCATAGTGATTCTAATGCTCCGGCGGTCCAAAGCAATCGGTGGTGAACTCGGTGGACCGGTGGGGATCAAAATCTTCACGTCCATGGTACTCTTCGGACTTTGGATCTTTTACTTGATCATGTCGACTCTTGAGGCTTACGGTGTAATTGAGGGCTTCTAAGTACACTTTTAGGCTCCTCTTTTACTAATATAAATACAAAAAAAAATTTTTAATCACCGCCGCAACCGACACGAATACATACTACATTTAGGCCTACGATTTTAAGTAATTAATGTATAAAAAAAGACATTTCAATACGAGAGGAGCGCTCAAAGGCAGATTCTTATGGTGAGCAATACTTTTTTATTTTTTTTATATAAATTTTTCCAATGCTTTTTCATTCATAATCATTAATTATTAATTATTAAGTATGTGATATTTTTTGTTGCAGATCTGCCATATTGTAGCTAGATTTTTATGAAAAATAGTAATAAGTGCGATTGGAGTTTCGGAATGCTGCTGGTGTGAATGATAGAATAATTATAAAGAATACCAATATTAATGTAAAAGTGAATAATAAAAATGAATCAATACTGCATGTACTTAAGTAAACGACAATGTAAACGAAGCATGTCATGAGAATAGAATTTTACGGAAAAATACGATATATGCCTTAAATATAGAAAAGAAATACCATGTAGACCGTAAGAAATGGTACGAATGGGAGTAAAGAACAAAAAAATTAAAGCATCAACTTTAAATATAGTAATAATAAAAATATGTATAGTCTAAACGTAATGATTAAATCTAGTCAGCGTAAAGTACATGACTTGCGAATCAGGACGTTATTATACTGAGATTATAACTGTTATACATATACATACTTATACACATTAAAAATTATTATTTATACATGGAATACGATTTTTCAGTTAAAAAAGATGTTTGTTATAATAATGGTACAGGTTTCTATCCGATGAATATTATATATAAGAAATATTATACAGCAGCGCGAAAAACTGTGTCACTGTTCCTTCCCATCAGAGATTCAATAAGATGAATTGTATAATTTTTTACAAAGTACATGCATTACAGGGTTAAATATATTTTACATTATAAGTAACAAATCATCATATGTGTACTCTGAGGTATACTTTCACTTTGCGAATATTCGGTTCACTTTTTTTTCTCTTCAAAAATGTTACTGCTAATTTTAAAAATAGCAACACTTTTTATACTTTAGCTTAACCAATTAGTAATAAAATAATGCTTGAAGCAGTCAGTACTTAATTCGTATCAATTCTTTAGTCAATTTAAAAAGTCTATGAAACTAATATTTTTTTGGACAATAATATACTTATCATATATTATTGACGACCATATTTAAGTGTTCATTTTAATGGATTAGCTTTTAACAAAATTAAATAAATGTAAAGAAAATAATTTGGCAGTCATTTTTAATTTGAATTGGAATTTGAAAAATAAAATTTTTCAAATTAAACAAGGGTGGAGCAAATCTTCATTTATCTTTTTATTCATAAAAATGTTATGACCCTTGAAATTTTAGGTTATAAATCTTAATAAATTATTGACGTTTTTGTTAACAATACATAAATTTATGTACAAATTATTGATAATAACCTTTATGTGTTCACTATAAATTGTTGAGTGAAACTGTTAACAATTCATCTTCAAAATGATCTTGTATGTTGTCAAATGAATCTCATACTGCTGTTCTTATAAAAATCTCATTACAGATAAGCATTATTCATATAATGTAAAATGCAAACGTTGTTGGAAAAATAATAATTTTACTGAAGTTGAAAAATAATACTTTTATTCTGTAATTTGGTCCAATGGTAATGAAAAATATTTACTCGATACGTTTCCATTCAAATTCAGTTCACATAAAATAGCATTGAATTAAAAAAAAGCAATAATTACGACCAGCGTAGATATTATTTATGCTATAACACGTTAAAAATAAATTTTTTCAAACTTCTCATTGAAAAATTTATTCAATACTTTTATCATTGTAAGTGAAGTACAAGAATGAAAAACAATAACAATAACGAATTTTCTTATCAATCACTGGAAAATACTGTACTTTTATTTTAAAACAGCTGCAATATGCAGCTATAAATTTTTTTATCCAAAAATATTGTATAACTGCAATCGCATTCTCATAAGAAAGTAAAATATCTTATTAGTTATTATCTCCGATTTTAAGTTAATTTGGTCATACAGCATCTTTATGCTTTTATCCTCAAACTCATTGTAACTTGTTCAAATTCACACTTTCAAATTTCTTCAAGTTTAATTGAAGAAATGTTTTTATTCTAAATAAATGTTATCCATAATTGTAGATTTAAAAATGAAAATACTTTTTAACGTGTGGTAATAATTATAATAAATGAATAAAAAATTAACGAGAATCCCTCGACAGCAAAGCGTTAAAGTGATAAATAGTAATTTATAATCGCCAGCTTTTACAAAAGTTTATGTCGGTGAATGTTCTAAAATATATTAAACCACGATTGTAACCTGTATAAACAAAAGATGTTTCGAAAGTACACAATGAAAAAATTTAGCACTTACAAAAATACAAAAAAATGAATTTGTTAATAAATGTTACATCATGAAATAATCAAAACAGTATTGAACGGTTGAAGTTTTTATCGCGAAAAAATACAAGTCCAACTAATTATAATTAATAAAAGGCTAAAAAAAACTCAATTCATCCTGGTCGAAGATTAATAAGATTTTTTTCAAATAGCAAGTATGCTAAGCTTGACCATGTCACCACAGCTTTTGAAAAGAACACGCGAAACATAAGATTTGTGTCAGAAAGATTGAATTTTAATAATAAAAAATACTATAACAGCAACTCGACAACTAAAATATTAATATTAAAAATCGAATTCTATTGAAAAATGTAGTAAATCTAACGTGTGATACTTGTTTATTTAAACATAAAATTGTGTAACCTTGTCAGAAATTGCTGCATTTTTCACTTGTTTTAAGAATTTAAGGAATTGGATTTAAATTAAGATCTTAAAGTCGTTTTATTGGCCTAATGTAAATATTATTCTTTTTATCTTTGAGCAAAATAACTACATAAAATCGAGTTATTCTGAAAAAAATGAAACATAAAAAAAATTATATAATCCTTACAAAATGATCTTCTGAAACATTTAGAACGAACTACAATTACGGAAAAAACATAAAAAGCCCAGTATTATTAATATATAGAATATATTGTACTCAAATCAGCCGAAATAATTTCAACACTATCAATCGTCGTATTACAATCTATTAATGATAAACAATCATACTTGAAAAACTTCTAATTTTCGTATCAATCTAATGTCATGAACAATTTCCTGAAGGAATTATAAAAAAAAATGTAAGAATGCAATCAAGAAAAAGCTTTCGAATATTTCTAAAATTTTCATAGTGGCTAGCCCAGTTTATTTACTTTAAAAAAATGTAGAGAAATGTTCAGAATCGGACCAAAAGCGTGCAAAGCACACGTAAAAACTTTTTTTCGCATATAAAGTTATGGAAAAGATGCAACAGTACATGTTTAATGAATTAAGTTAATGAAGAGCACAGAACAGCAAAATTTGTAATGACCGTACCGTTTGAATTTAGCAATTATTAATGCGTGTAAAAATATAAACATTCATTTGACTACAATATTAGTCTTTTAATAACATAACTACAAGTTTGATCAAACTATATAATTATTGCTTTAATTTTTGTTCATGAACTTTTGAAGAATTTTATTATTTAATTGAAAATCGTTAACATTCGCTGTACACTTCTTCGGTACTCCAATATTCATTTCATGTATCTACTGACCAAACTTTATGTAGCTTGAAGTAGATTGGACCAAAATAAATATGAACATAATTTAGGGAGTATAATGGTTCGTTTATAAAATTTTACCGTTTCAGATAAAGAATATATAATAAAATACTGTCAGTTTATAAAACTTATAAAAACGGATGGAATAATTCTCAAACACAACACCGCTCAATCATAAGATTTTAAAACTATCAAATAATTTTTCAATGTTCTGATGAATCTTTCAAGTGCTTGAGATTGTCTCAACCTTACAAAATCATATAAATTAAAATACAATCTCTAAAAAAATTGATTTTCATAAATATTACGGAGTAGATATCTTGTAATCAACAATTAAAATTAAATGACTTTCAAAGTCTTTTTAAGAGTTATTTACCAAAAATATAAAATTTATAAAATACTTAGGGCTGGCCACTCAATGTTTTTCCTTAAAAAAAATTAAATTTTACTGACGATCTTAAAGAATACTTGGGTACAAATCCAATATAACTATTCTGTATCCTATAAAAACTTCATGTTTTCATTTTAAACGTGTCTTTAAACTTTTATTGATAAAAAAAACAAAAATTCTTGTTCAAAAATTATTTGAAAATTTGTTCCTAAGCATAATTGCAAAATTCAATTAATATCTGTTTCGTGTCAGGGACTTCAAACTTATACTATCCCAACTGCATTTTGAACTAAATCAAATCTTATGCTACTGAAAGTTTTTATACAAGATTTGTCAACGATAATAAATTTCTATGTAGACCAAAAATTTTTTCTCGTTCTTTGCTATATTCAAATGAGGTCTACGTGAAAAATGATATTCTGAAGTTCGTGTTTTCTTGGTAGAAATTCAATTGAATTAAGAATAAAAAACGCTTAATTAATAATTATAAAATGAATATTTAAAATTTTTAATTACTATCAAGGGAGTTCCATAGCAAATATTCTTATACTGTAACTAAAAAATATTTTATAAAAATGAAATTGTTGATTTTTAAAAATCCAAGATACAAACTAGTAGGATATTTGTAAAATTATAAATTATGAGGTACAACTTTATGAGAATCCTTCATTAATCATTGTGTATATATTAATGTATATAATACTATTGTTCTTACGGGATTCAGCTTTTTCTATAGTTACTAGCCCTTTTTGTTAGAAATGAAATGAATGAATAAACCTATCGGGCCAATGAAACTGTAGGACGCTTTGATAATAAACATCGAATGAATGGTTATAGACGTGAATATATATTTATTTTTTATAGGAAATTTCTCGAGCTACTACTAAAAAACGTTTCTTTCAGCTTCGTAGAATTATAATGTAAATTATAAAATCTTCATAGTAGAATTCTTTAATTTTCTTTTGCTCATTGGAACAAATTGATTGAAAACTGTTATAATAAAAATACGTTTTAATTTTACATAGTTAAAATATGAATAATTTCATCCTTAGTAGAAAAATCCATAAAATTGTCAATCATTTTATTAGCAAAGTAGTGCAATTTCAAATTAATTTAAATTATTTCAGATGATTTTTTAAGAAAGGGTAAATGTATAAATCATCTTTATCCGTATGTCACGCTTCAAGTACAATCGTCTACTTTACCCTTAAAAAACAATACATCCCGTTTCTGAATCCCTTTCTGTCATTCCGTCCTTCAAAATCTTAATTCTCATATAGAAATACACGCAATTGATTATTGTAACGACATAAGTAGTACTTTTTTCTTTTTAAAGTTCGAGATGGGCTCCCACAAATTATTTACAGATTTATTGAAACACAATGTCGTTGCAAAAGAAAAAAATCAATTAGATCGATAAATACTCCGTGCAAAAAAATGAAAATCTTCAATAAGCACGGCTATCGTTTCTACATCACTTTTCGCCCTTGTATCATCTGTACAGATATTTACGTGGAATACAAAAGGTATAATAATGGAAAAAATATAGCTTTTAATTAAATAATTCAGCAAATAACAGCGTTTGTTTTATAAGTTCAATAAATATTTAAGACAACGAATTAACCTTAAGTGTCATTAAAATTACAACATTGTTTTTAAGTAAACAAGTTAAAGAAATCGAAAGTAATTTAATGAAAATGAATAAAACTGCGATTCACGAAACTTTAGTGAATTTCTGTTAACGGTTCTATTCAGCTCGATAAGTATATATTTTAATAATGTTTCACCAATTAATCTCAACGAGGGTGAAAAAATTTTCGAAGTGTACGTTAGAGCGACTAGGAAAAAAACAGCCAAACGCGTAAGGTAGTTTACATGCGAGCAATACGCGTATTAAATAAAGCCTAAACCGAAAATCGTCGGAGTGACCTTCAATTTCTGCATGAATATATATGTATTATATATTTATGTTTAAACAGTACCAAATGTCCACGACGACTGATTATTTGTTATTCTCGTTCCATTTTGATTTTACAATTAAAAAACATAGATGAATTTTTACAAATAAGAGACAGATATGAATGAGTGAAGCGTATGAGCGTTCGAAATAATGGACCTATCATAGATAATGGCATCAAGTAACCAAATGATAAATGCCACATGTAATACATTTTTTATATTAAGCCTGCACATTTGCGCGGCAACTCATGTTAATGTAAAATAAATATTAAATATGATAAAAATAGCAAAATATTATACTTGATCGACGATTGCCAAGCTATGAACTATATACTTATATATAATGCCTAAACATAAAAAAAATTTGAAATTTATAACCTTATGTATAACCTAGTTATATCAGCTAGTCCAAATGCATTTTCATCTTCCGTCTCTGTTATTATCATATATACAAATATTCCTAATGTACAGATCACTATACTATACTATTATACACATTTACGATAATTATTTATAATCGTATCGTTGATAATAATTATATATATATTTATATATATTATAAATGATTAAAAGAATTGTTATGTGAATGAAAAATAATAACTCAAAGTGTAAGGTGTAATGTTGCGACAATGACACTTCATTGTATGAAAAAGTATATATATAAATACGTATATATATCTTATATATATGTGTAAACTAAATGTTACAGAGAATTGGACATTATTGTTGAACTAAAAAATGCATGAGACACATAATGCTAAAAGTTAACGATTATATTTGTGTAAAAAAATTATGCATTAATTTTAAATAGCAAGAAATATACTTAAATCTAATTTAATTTATTATACTGATATAAAATTTAAATTTTCGAAATGTATGAATCGAATATATTAATTGACACTTATTCAAGCATTAAATATTTGTAATTTATGGTGTTTGAACAGAAAATTTACATTAATATAAGCGTTAACGAAGCAAAAATATTAAAATTGAAAATAATAATAAAAATATATACAATTTTATGTCCAAGTCTGGCCAAGCCATAAAAAGAGAAAATTCTAAGGAAACCGATTTCGTAATAAAATCGATCAATGTTTACTGTCTATATTTCGTACTATTTACCCGGTGATTTAATGGGAACGTAACGAATAAAAAACGGTAATAATATTAATATTACGACTTCCATGTGGCGAACGGCAACACTGACCGATGCACCTGCAAATTTACAATAAAACTGGTTTGGAAATGCCAGAGAACATATTATTATACGATCTGATATTATACCATAAAAACAGTGTTGGCAAAAGTGTGACGTACAATATGCGCAACGCACAACGCCAATTTCGATGAACGCTACATTTACAAGGATTACATGCGTGTGGAATTTGAGCCAATTGGAATATAAAACAAAGAAGATGAGAATGGCGTAAATATTTTTTTCCTTTGTAAAGTAATAACAAAAAAAAAGAAAAATTTGAATGGCCGGGTAATATGCTCTGGGCACGAGCTATAGTCGAATGATATAAATTATAAATGTATAGGAGTGAACGAGTTTCTCGTAAACTTGTTACAAAAGTGATTGTAATTTGATTGAAAGTGTAAAAAAATTAATTAAATATTCATTAAATGTTACTCAAAAGTTTAATTATTCTTCATTCATTTGCATACCCTTTAAGTGCTACCCTCAATGATACTCATTTGTTAAATTATTTCAGACATCTTATTTACTTCCTTACTCAGAATAAAAATAGATTAACATTCATATCATCACTGCGGAAATTCAATATCTTAGATACAAAATTATCTTTATTTTCTTTTCTTTGATACATCGTACAATGAATTGAAATGAAATAAATAAAAATATGTCCAATGACATTTGAAAATCATCTTACTTATTGTAAAAAGTACATTATACTAATAAAGACTGATTAATTAAATAATGATCTTTTAATTGGCATAATGTTGATCATACCGATATATGCTTGTAGACAATTTATAACAACTTAAATTGGCCTAATCTTTCTGAGACTAAAATTAGATTAATGTAAATTATAGATATAATATTTACTATCCACACATTAGTAATGCAAAAACATTTAAAGTGACTTTAAGTGTCAACCTATGCACTTTCTATTGGGCGCGTCTTCACCGATTAACACTTTAAGCAAGTCAATGCATTCGATGTGAGTCAACATTTTTGTGTGCATCGAGAAAAGTTTAAAAGTGACCTACTAACGAAGCATAGCTCGTCACAGTGACCGTGTGTCTATAGGTACTGTTTAGTTTGCAAAATTGAACCGGTTCGGTCCACACACGATCTGTTATTATTTTTAAGCTGGACTAGCTCACGAGATGCATTGCGTCTCGTTGCGCGATGCATCTTCTATTTCTCTTTAGTCAAAGGGGCTCTCGCAAAAATAGAAGATTCGCTCTCACTCTCTGGCGCTATTCTCTAATGCTCATTTCAAAAGAAGTATCCCGGGCTCTAGTGTGAGTGCTGCTCTTCATTTGTGTATCGTTTTTCGTGTGATTATCGCGCGTAGTCGAGAATCAAAAGTCGAATTTTGTTCATAATGATACATAGTTGCGCAGTGCCTTATTGAAGATACGAAATGAAAATACTTTCAGACTTTTTGAGTTTTTTGTGATTTGAACAGTCATCTTTACGATAAAAAGTAAGTTAATAACTAGTAAACTACAGAGCAAAGTTTTAGTTTTTCTATCGAATGTCTAGTTTAATAATTTAGATTGTTTGCTCATATAGTTGTTTAGTAAATCTGTTAGACTCAACTAAATTATTAGTATTTATTTTAATAAAGTGAGCTCATTAGATCAAGTCAAGAGCATACAGAGGATACTTCTATCCTTACATTCTATTTTTGTTGTTCACTGAATGAATATATTTTTATCTATATTATTATTAAAACAACATGAAGTGTGTCAAGCCAATTATTATTTCAAGCATGTCTCTTAGCACGTACGACTAGTTGAAAAATTGGCATTAACAATATCCATGGTCACAATTTTGTATTTCATTTATAATTCTTTGATAGACAAGAAAATCATAAAACATTATTTAAAAATGAAAAATAATATTTTTATTGGATAATAAAAAATACATTTGTAGATCATATTGCAGTAAAAAAAATCAAGAGCGTGTCACTCTGTGACGTCGCGACAAGGTCGCAGCCGCGCCGGCTGCCAAAAATTTAGCTGAGCTAAAGTGTAGTTCCTCTGGTATACATTAGCCATGCCAACTCTGGGTAAAGTACCTTTGCTGCTGCTTTTGTTTCTCTTTCTGGGACGTGGAACGAGATGCGCGAGCCTCGCTACAGCTGACCCATCGCCACGAAATGCCAACAATGACGACCAAAACGCAGACACTGACGATCTCAAGGACGATGACGAAGACTGGAGGGTAAACACGATGATATACCACATACTGCCACGAACTTTTCAAGATAGTGACGGCAATGGCGTTGGTGATTTGCAAGGTATTTCACAGATTTTTCACGAATAATATAGAATCAACCTAATTTTGATACAAATCGATATTTTCAAATCAGGCATAATCAGTCGTTTGAATTATCTCAATGAAATCGGAGTGGATACTATTCGCTTAGGACCTGTACATACGTCTTCCCTTGCTGATTCTGAAGGCGATGTATCAAATCATACCGATATTGATCCAGTTTTAGGAGATTTCAATGATTTTGAGGAACTCATTCACGATGCTCATAATAGAAGTGAGAAATTTACCATTTCAAATTAATTCCAAGAAACAATAGTTTAATGATTTTTTTCATTTTACGCAGACATAAAAGTTATTTTGGATATTATACCAAATCATTCTAGTACTAAGCATCCATGGTTTCAATCTTCTTCCAACGACGAAAACTCTTTTGAAGATTTTTATCTATGGGCTGATGGAAAAATTAAAGATAATGTCATATATCCCCCAAATAACTGGGTACGTAATCTGCAATAAAATAAGCAACATTTCCTAATTATAAATACATTTAAAAAAATTTCATTTGTATGGGATAGAAAAATGCCTACAGTGATATTGAAGGTTCTGCTTGGACCTTTAATATGGACAAAAGAAGGTGGTATTACCACAGATTTCATGAAAATGAACCCGATCTCAATTTAAGAAGTGAAGATGTTATACAAGCTATATTTGTAAGTAATTTAATTTTCTAAAAATATTATTATTGTCGTTATTATGAATTGTTAATCTCCTAATTATTTTAAAAAAAGGACGTTTTTGATTTCTGGCTTGAAAAAGGCGTTGATGGATTCTGCATTCATGGTGCATCATATTTAGTAGAACATGAAAATTTGTTGGACGAACTTAATCACGAAGAAGATATTGATGGCGATGGAATTAAAAATGAAGAAGACGATGACGACGACGGCGATGGAATAAAAGATAGTGAAGACTCGGATGCGGACGGGGACGGTAAAAAAGACGATGACGACGATGATATTGACAATGATGGACTAAAGAATGACGTTGACGACGACGATGACGGTGATGGAATAAAGGACGATGTTGACGAAGATGCGGATGGCGACGGTAAAATAGACGACGATATTGATGGAGATGGTATTAAAAATAGTGAAGATGATGACGATGATGGGGACGGAATTAAAGATGAACATGATGATGACGATGATAACGACGGTCTAAAGGACGACGAAGAAGATGACATTGACAATGATGGTATAAAAGATCATCTCGACGATGATAAGGATGGTGATGGAATAAAAAATAGCGAAGACGATGATGCTGACGGAGATGGAAGAAAGGACGATGATATCGATGGCGACGGCATCAAAAATATTGATGATGACGACGATGATGGTGATGGCGTGAAAGACATTGTTGACGAGGATAGAGACGGTGATGGTATAAAAAATAGCGAAGACGACGATGCAGATGGTGACGGCCGGAAAGATGATGATCTTGACGGAGATGGAATTAAGAATGATCAAGATGACGACGATGACGGAGACGGAATAAAAGACGAAGTTGATGACGATGACGATGGCGACGGTAGGAAAGACGATGACATTGACGGTGATGGTATTAAAAATAGTGAAGATGACGATAACGACGGAGATGGAATCAAAGATGATGTTGATGACGACGATGATAATGACGGTCTCAAAGATGACGTTGATGACGACGATGACGGCGATGGTAAAGTCGATGGCGCAGAAAATACTGGCAACGAAGATGAAGACGACGATTCTCACGAACACACAGTTGGCTTGTCAGACAACGCCGCGGTACTGCAACGCTTCCGTCAACATATCGATCAATGGGCCAAAGATAACAACCAAGAACCTAAGTAGGAAACTCTTCTATTATTTTCATTAGCGATTTTATTAATGTATTTGTATTATGCAGATTATTACTTGCTGAAGTCAACGAAAATGATGACAACATTCATCTTTATTACGGAAATGATACTGATCCTGGAATAGCACCGTTGAATTTGATATTCATAACTAAATTAAATAAAAATAGTACTGCAGAAGACATAAAAAAAGTCATTGATGAATGGATGGATCGTTTACCAGAAGGCGCCACGACAAATTGGATGGTAATAAATATTTTTCTATCACTAATGAATCTCGTTTTAAAATCATTAAAGTCAATCAATTTTTACAGCTTTCAAGTGACGATTATTCGAGAGCTTCTTCTCGTTTGAATCCAGAACTTTTGGATGGTCTTTACATGTTGACTTTGCTTCTTCCCGGTCAAGCAGTAACTTACTATGGCGAAGAAATCGGAATGGTCAACGGAGATGAAATACTGAATCATAATAGGTATAAAACTCCTATGCAGTGGGATGATTCTATTTCTGCTGGATTTTCTAGCAATGAAACTACATTCCTTGAGGTCAACGCCGATTATAAGGAAGTCAATGTTAAAAAGCAGTTGGACGATCCCGATAGCAATTTGGAGGCTTACAAAAAATTAGCTATACTACGAGAAAATCCAATTTTTCTTCATGGAGATTATGAATTATCCACGGTCGAAAATACAAACATACTAATTTTAAAAAGGTACTGAATTGATTAATTCCGAATGGAATAAAAAATTCAATGTCCATAAAAATGTTTTATATTTTGTATAAATTTTAGATCACTTGATAATGACACGTGTCTTACTATTATAAACTTTGGATCTGCAAAAGCGACTGTCAACCTGACAGAACTTTACCCGAACTTGGAAGAAGATTTACAAGTTATGCTCGATTCAAGCAATGCCGATGTTGAAAAGTAAGAACATAGAGTGATTGTTTTAAAATAAAAAGCCTGTTATAATTTTTTTCATCGAATAAAATATGTTTAATTTCAGTGTAAATGACGACGATAATGACGATGATATTGAAAATGACGCGTTTACATTGGACGGAAATGCAGCAGCAGTTTTGTGTGACAAAGACGATTTTAAAGAAACTACTGAAACAACAACAATTGGTAATTAACGATCAAACTTATAAAAATTTAGTCGTAACACTACGAGCAATTAAATCAAAATTCATTTTTATTTTAAAGATGACGTTGAAGATTCTATATCAACAACATTAACCAATGAAATGGACGTGGAACCAGTTACTACAGAGACAGAAACAACAACGATTAGTTTTGCTTATAAACAGGAATTACCTCCACTTTGGGCATCAATTTTCCTTTCTTCGATATTATTGATGCAAAATTTATGAAAAAAAATCGGGTGAAAGTTATTCGAAAATTTTTTCGCGAACCTTTGTACAGTGAGTACGGATTTTTGAATATCATAAATTTTGATACGCATTAATACGTAATTTTTTACGTAATTTATGTTATAGTTAAAAGATAGAACAAAAAAGTTTCACTGTTATAGTTAGTGTGAAGATGATCAAATGATGCAATAGAATGTTTACTTAATATTTTTTTAATTTTTGAGAGAATACCAAAGATAGGGTAAAAGTTTATAATATCAAATACATTTTCTAAGATTCCTTTTAATTGTTTTTTCAAAAATGTATGTTCGTTTAATGGAAAATTTGTTCAAATAATGGTATTTGAAAGTTTTTTTACTCTGGCTCTAGTCTCTCTACAAATCCAAATATCATCAAGATCTGCTCACACGAACACATTCTACAATATTTCATAAGTTTTATAATAATAATTTCGTAATGCAGTAAAATTCACTCTCAATTGAGTAGATCTGTGATGCTTATAAGAAATTATTAGCATCCCTCAATTGAAAGTGACTCGTAACATATTCGAAACTATTGCATATCCCTAGATGCGATAGACAAAGTTTGTCTCTTAGGCATTATAGAAATCACGCAATACGTCAACTTATAGCAATAACACGCGTGGTAATTCACACGATATAAATCTCATAATACAAAGTTTATTATCTCTATCGAGAGTAGCCACTGGCTGGCCGTCCATAACCCGTCAGTACGTAAAACGACATCGTTTCGTCAAAGCGTCGTCGACACAATGCAAATAAATAACAATTTTAAAAATATTAGTTAAAATTAGTGTAAATATTGGCTTTTGCCGAGATAGATCGTAAAGAAATTGAATCAAATGGTGAAAAAAATGGTACCGAAAGAAAATACGTATTTGCTCGCTCAGGAACGCATTATAAGTGAAAAAAATGTTCAAAACACACATTTTGTTGGGAAGCGTTTGAAAGGTATTTGTTGATCATAATAAATCTGTGATTACGTTAATGTTTGCTTACGCTATGATTTACAATAATTTCAGTATCTACTTATTTGAAGCTTGTTGTCTAATTTAAATCACGAGTCCACAAATTTTAATCATATAATAGATGATAAAGTATTGTCAGCTGATTCACTTTTCAATGAATTGAATCTGCGACACTTTATCTCGTGTGTCAATAAATAATCAATTAGATAATAACATTTAAATATGTAGTTGAACTATACCTCAGTGGAATGCGAATAAATATTAAATATTTTTAATATGAGTTTAGTTTAAAAAGACTAAATATACTATGTTACACGTATATTTTTTTGTTTTAGAAATGACAAAAGAAGAACTAGCTTACTATACAGCGGATCCTTTGTGTATGAACTTGCGGCTGTGTATATTTTGGTTTTTTTGGTCAATGTTCATCGTCGTGCTAATAATAGCAGTGTATGCATATTTTTTTGATGCGCCCACTTTTTTTTTCTAGTTAAATTCAAAAATAATGTTACCAATGAAAGTGTTATAAATCCGATTTAAGAACTATGTAATATATAGTAAGTATACGTAATATACTTAGCAACCAGTTTGTTCCAACCTCGCAAAAAATCAAAGAGCTACTTTTTTCTTCTTTTGGGCTAATGTTTATGTTTGATAAAGCGAAGAGAACATCCATTTTATCTGTGCGAATGATAAATGCGATAAAATCCACTTGGGATGAATTCACAAGTAAATATCAGATCAAGGAATTTTACCGATGATAAATGCCGATTGCAATCTATAAGACTGTTGTAGAAAATAAGCTCTTAAATAATAATTCTAACGATTAATAATAATAATAATAATAATAATAATAATAGTGAATAACAATAGTATTCGAAACAATTAAAGATTTTAAATTAATAGAAATAAGCCTACTGATCATGCAATATTATGTAATTATTACTGCTCCAAAAACATTTTCTTCGAAAAATATGAAAACTGTAAAAAGTATCATAGATATTCAAGTTTTGTTTTGCATGTGCTATACCAAATTAGCACTCGACACAGATCAGATTTCGACATTATAGTATAATTAAATAGCGTCTTATTTTAATATGCGTTTATGGGTTGTAACGTGTATACGCACATAATAAAATTAAATAAAAGCCAAATTAATGTCATTGTACGCAAATTTTAATGATGGTAATTAACACTTTCTGACAACGCACCGAAACACCTGGCCATAATACACTCAAAGATAAGAAATTATAATTGCAGTACTTTTAATCCTAGCTTTTATAGATACATGATTCAATAACATTAATTATTTCAGTATTTTGAAACATTATCTGACCGAGTTACTCGTGGTACAAGAATTCTTGGACTTTTCGTATGATATCTGCTTTAAAATAATTTTTCGACGTCCGAAACAAAGCAACGAGTCATTGATAATCTCTCACAAATTTTACGAGTTGCTCATTTTCTTCGATAACGGTAATGACTTCTATGAGTCTTTATCTAAGCGCCCATACTCGTTTGTACGCAGTCTCGTGAAAACTCCGTAAAGTTATAAGAATCTATTTGAAAAATTTTGACTATTAGCCCAGTGTCTGCTTAGCCGTAAGAGCGAGCATACCTCACGGTAGCTTCAGACCCGACTTCGGGCCTGTAATTCAAATTAAAAATAATTTTTGTTTGAAAACAACAACAACAACAACAAAATGGAGAAGAATATTGAAGAAGCGAATAACAACAACCCCGGAGGGGTAAGTAATTTTGTCTAATTTATTAATTCAAGTTTCAAAGCATAATAAAATTTGATTAAACTAGTTATTTCTATTTGACTGAAAATAATCGTGAAATATTAATAAAATTTAATTTTATTAAAGTTATGATAATGCGTAAATTTTATTTTAATTATTTGTTACAAAATAATAAAAAATAGTAATTGCAATTTAAAAAAAGTGCGGATACGGTTGTTTTAAAACTCAAATATTCAAATGACTCATGTTTTTATATTTTCGAAGAAGTAATTATTTATTTAAAATTAAAATTTAATATGAGGGACTGCAAATTCAAATCCTAGATCAAAATCAGAGCTTTCTCTTTCTTAATAAATAAATTGTCAAGTGGAAAAAGATTCCCTATGTAAGTGAAACTTTACGGAAAAATTATATGATGCAATAGTGCATCTTACTTTCACGGTACTTAGGTAATGAACACATGGGTAACCGAACAATATAAATACAGCGAAATAGGGGCCACCTACATGTATAATATACGCGGCTCTAATTACAATAGTTTTTTTTTCATTACTGAATTAATTGTACTCGAGAAACACTATGAGAGGATAAATCAACTTCCGCTCCTAAAATTGCTAGTGTACATCGATCCAATAATTTTATCCGGGCTTTTTCAATATGAAAAAAATAGATTTTTCCTCAAAATATAAATCTAAAGAAATAAGCTAAATTATACTAAAATTTTAAAGCAGATACAATTTACAACTGGAACTGTTCACATCGATATCGATGCCGATGAACGCAAACCATTATCTGGATTTAATAAAGAAGAGCTCGAGAAATATGCAAATGATCCATTTTGGATTAGACTACGAATGTTTATATACGTTGCATTCTGGTTAATATTGATTGGAATGTTGGCTGGAGCTGTCGCTATCATTGTATGGACACCAAAATGCCCTGCACCATTACCAAGAAAATGGTGGGTAGAAAGTCCGATAGTAAAAATGAACCTCTTGGAAAATCCAGCAACAGATTTCAAAGATTTGGAAGTGTTTTTAAAAGACTTGCAGCAAGAAAACGTTCAATCGTTGTGCTTGAATTCGGTACTAAAACAATCAAATTCAGGTAAATAAAAAGATTTATGTGTTAAAATTGACTGCTTAAAAAAGTTGTATTCATTACTAAATGACAATAATCAAATAGGAGTTACTACGGACTTCAAAAACACCAATCAACAATTTGGACAAATTGAAGATTTCAAAAAATTCGTGTCCAGCGCAGCTGAGAAAGGAATAAACATAGTAATTGACATTGATCCTAATCATTCATCCGATGAACATCCTTGGTTCAAGAAATCGGTTCAAAAAATTGGAAATTATTCATCTTATTACGTGTGGGCTGATGGAAAACCGAATCCAAAAGGCGGATTTTTACCACCAAACAATTGGGTAAGTCATATTTTTATCTAACATACTATACATTATTATTTTTCTTTTGTACTTCTATTCATTCATTAGTACTTTCACTCTCAGCCACTTAATAATTTATACTTTTCATTAATTAACATTTTATAAATACAGCTCAATCTCGACGGCAGTTCGGCATGGACGTACAACGCAAATAGAAGTCAATTTTATCTTCATCAAATGGATACTTCTCAACCTGATTTGAACTACAACAATACCCAAGTCATAGAAGAGTTCACTGTAAGCTGTATAAAATTTATACATCTATATTTCCTGGTTGGATTTTTAATTCATAAATTTTTGTGATGCAGGAAACATTGAAATTCTGGATGAACCTCGGCGTGAAAGGATTTAGATTAGCTAACACACATTATTTGTATGAAGACGTGAAATTGAAAAATGAAACCCCTGGCTTATCATTCCCAGCTAAAGACAATTTATACGACTCTTATACTCATTATAATACCAGGCATCATGCGCAAAATGCGGTATTACTAAATCTGTGGCGAAATGTCGTTCTAGAGCACACAAATCAAGAAGGATTATTCACCTTAATTGATGAATTAAGGAGAGATACTATACCACCAAATGAATTTGTACCAGATGAAATGAAACTTTTTGATCTTCCATTGAGTGTAAAATCACTTTCTGATGTAAACGCAAACGTCACCGCTGCAGCATTGAACCAAACTGTTTCTGATATGTTGTCACTTTCTATTTGGCCAGCTGTTGACGTGAGCATCATATTTTTTTCTAAAAAATATTTCTATATGGTGCAAAGAAAATATTTAAAAATAATGAATACTTTTTCTTTTAAACAGTTTACCGAAAACAATACCATCGAAGTGCGCAGTCCTGAAAATACGGCCCTTGTTTATATGTCCATGCTTCTCCCAGGCACTCCAATTTTGAATATTAATGATTCTTATCCTTACAAGGAATCATTTGCTAAATTAACTAAGGCCCGGCATAACATTCAATTCCAACATGGAAAAACATCGACTTATATTCTTAATAACGGAACTATATTTGCCTACACGCGGTGAGTACCAATAAAAATCTTCGAATCACCTTTCTGATATATTTTATGACAAAAAAACTTCATGATGCTTTTTATCTTTAACAGAGTCAAACCGGGAAATCCTGGATATGTCGTCATTTACAATAGTGATGTATCGAACAAAACGGTAGATTTAAGTTCTTTGAATCAAATTGCCGCCAATGTAGAAGTTCTCGCTCTCAGTCCCAATCATAACCAGAACATCACCCTTTCACAGTAAGTTTTACAATGATAATGTCTGGGACCAGTTGAATAATGTATACCACCATTAAACTTTGTATTTTTTTTCACAGAAAATTAAGCTCAAACGCCATAGCTATGTCACCTAAAAGTACTTTTGTCGGGGAATACGTAGTTCAGAAGTTACCATAATCATTTTTCGTAACACATTCTAAATGATCAGAATTCTCATTTCTTAGATTAATTTAGAAATCTTAAGAACGCATTATACTTTTGTAAATAGCAAAAAATGTGGTACGTAATTTTACAGCTTGTGACTATGTTTTTGTATTAGACATTAATTGTTATTTTTATATAAGTGATATACTAGTAAATAATTTTTTTACTCAAAACTGAAATCTAATGTTTTATTTGTTTACTTTTTAACATTTTTCAACTTTTATCAGTGGCTTATTACAAGTATACACTGTGCTAATACTGGCTTGGTAAGTACAACAGGAAACTGCAAAAATTTATTCAATGCTAAAAAAATTCATTTAATCTTAAAAATGTGCGAGCTCAAAAATAAAATTCATACATCGTTTGGTAAATTTAAAGTATTTTCAAAAACGCTTTGTCTAATTCAAACTATTAAAAAGTTATCATAGTTGAAGAATAATCTAAAGAATTAACGACGTCCAATAAAACAATCTCAAAATAAGAATGGAATTTTTATTAATTTTTTAAACTAACGCAATATCAACGTCTTCATTTTTCATTTTAATTTTTTTATTTCATCATTTTTCTTTGGAGTAAACATTAAATTTATAAGCATTAAAAAACTTGAGAATTACATTGAAATAAAGTAATTCGATAAGGCCTTAAGATTATACTTCAAATCGGTAACCGAGGACTCAAAAATATTCTTAAAACTATGAGTAACTTTTCTATCTCGTCTATTGAGAGATTACATGTGAACGTTGAGTTTCAAAGTAGACGCACGTGTAACCGCGAGTAAACTTCTTAATGCGATACGGTAAATTAAGTCTCATTAGCCGTAATTTAAATAATTACTCGTAATATATTTATGATTAAGTAGTATGTAAGCAGTATGTATGATTAAGTAGTAGTATATAAGGACTCGGCTATGAAACAAACTGATCGATCAATCGTAAAATTTACGCTACGACATTTTAGCGCGACAATATAATTTGATCGGACTTAATTCGCATTACATTTTATTCGTCTCTTGCGTTTATCATATAATTACGAGCAGTAAAATACGTGTGCGCTCAAGAATTTTTTTCGCTCGAAAAAGCGCCAACTCTGCGGATTCGCTGAGCTGCGTGCTGCATCGTGTGTGCGTGTGTGTGGGAGCGTGTCATTAAAAATTCCACACATGGTTTCGCAAAATATAATACGAAGGAGAAGAAGAGATGAGTGCGGGCCGCGGGGGCACGTGTCTCGTATGTATGTGTGTGCGGGCGTCTATATACGTATACGCAAAGTTTTCGCGCGCACACAGATGAAAATGCAAAGCGCGCGAACACGTGACGCAGCGGTGCGTATCGTATATCGACCCTCCGCTTGCTCAAACACAATATCCCGTTGTTCGCACCATTGTTGTTGCATCAGCTAAATTTGGAGCGGCTCGTCGAGATCGGGGGCTTTTTTTCCTGCCGAGGCCCAGTCGCGATTCGCAGCCGTTCTGGAAGCTTCCCCGGCGCTGTCTCCTAAAAATAGATATACACGGTGCGTTCGCAATTTCGAATCCGACCCTAACCCAGTCTGCGCTCGAAGGGCTCGCGAAGGGCCTCCATTGTAAGTAGCTAAGATTCCTCAAAGTCTGAAAGACGTTCGAGTAAGATAAATTCGCGTAGTGCTATAGCATCTTCAACGCGGTCGTGCTTACTCGAGTGCGGCTCGAATTGTACTGATTGTAAAACGTTCGATACTACTCACGTTACAGGCGATAGCGAAAGCTCGGACAGAGGCTCTCCTCTCCTACGATACTCTCGCTCTCATCTCGCGAGCAATTGCGTAAATCCAATAACAAGTCTCGATATATATACCTATCGAGAGAGCGAAGAGATCCGGCGACCTTGATAGCAGCAGTCGCCGTCGTGCAAATCCGGTGAGGAGGGAAAAAGAGGTGTACGATCATGGAGAAGAGTGGGAGTAAACTAGAGGCAGCGGATAGCAACGGCTCGGCAATCGTAGGAACCGTTGCCACGCCAGCAGCGGCCACAGCTTTTGATCGAGCGACGACCGAGCCCGCAGTGGTAGTGCCCAGCTACAAACCCTTGCCTGACGAGGATACCAATTGGAAAGCCAAAGCCAACTCCGTCACCATCGACATGGGTAAGCTCAACGGATCGGCCGATCAGGCCGAGGCGGTCGACGACGGCGCCACCGAGAAAATGCTCAAGGACGATGTCAAACTCACCATTGTACCGAGCAGCAAAGATGATGCTGGGGTAAGAATTTTTTCATCACATTATTTTTACAAAGAAAAATACACTTGGACTTGCCCATAATTTCTTAGCTTGGATCATTCTATTTGAGTGCAAATTTTATGTGCTAAGATGATTGTGTAATATGTCTGAATAAGAATGAGCTTACTGCTTCATGCTCTTATCTGTGGAGGAAGAAATTAATCAATTGATATAAATGAATCATAAACGAGAGCTCTCTTGATAATCATGAAATGCTCAACAATTAAAATATTATTTCTTCATCCACATTGTAACATATTATAAAACAACAATTATATCCGTAAATTATGCATTTTACAATACATAAAATGTTTTTATTAATATTTACAGGTCAAATTTATTCCTGAGAATGGAGATGCTAAAATTGATATTGACTCGGTTAAACAAACATTGTCAGGAATGGGAAAAGCAGAACTGATGAAGTATGCAAATGATCCATTTTGGATTAGGTTGAGAATGTTTTTATTTCTTGCATTCTGGGTGCTATGGGTAGCGATGCTTGCTGGAGCTATTGCTATAATTGTGTGGGCACCAAAGTGTCCTGCACCAGAGCCTAGAAAGTGGTGGGAAGAAAGTCCTATGATAGAAATAAACCACAAGGAATTTGCTAAATATCAGTCAGAAGCTGAAGTATTTTTGGATGATTTGCAAAAGCAAAATATTAAATCTTTATGTTTGGGATCTGTGTTGGAAGAATCTTCTCCAGGTTAGTCATATAGTGCATTAAAGCTAAAAGTAATTGCAAATACATTATTTGATAATAATAATAAATACTTAAATAGGACTTACAACAAACTTCACATTCCTGAGTGAAAGATTTTCAACGATGGCAAGTTTTGGTACCTTTATGTCTCAAGCAACTGCAAAAGGAATTAATATCGTAATAGATATTGATCCCAACCACTCATCCAATCAACATCCTTGGTTCAAGAAATCAATAGAAAAAGATGGAAATTATTCATCTTACTATGTGTGGGCTGATGGAAAACCAAATCCAGAAGGTGGATTTTTACCACCAAACAATTGGGTTAGTGTAAATGGTGGGTCAGCATGGACATATAATGAAAAGAGAGGTCAATTTTACCTTCACCAATTCAATGCTTCTCAACCTGATCTAAACTACAATAATTCTCAAGTCATTGAAGAGTTTAGCGTAAGTTTTCCAACATTTATGACCTTATAATTGTTGCATGCATTTTTAATTCATTCACTTTTTTGATGCAGAAAACATTGAAATTCTGGATGAACCTGGGTGTGACAGGGTTCAGATTAGCTAACACTCGTTACTTATATGAAGATACAGATTTGAAGGATGATAAACCTGGCCAATTTTATCCAGCTGAAAAAGATAATTATGATTCTCTTCTTCATGTTAATACCAGAGATCATTCACAAAATGCAGTATTACTAAATTTGTGGAGAAATGTCGTTCTAGAGCACACAAATCAAGAAGGATTATTCACCTTAATTGAAGAAGTTGGCAGTGATACATTACAACAAAACAAAATGGAAAAAACTGTTATTGATTTACCAAAGAGTGTCAAATCTCTTTCAAAGATAGCCTCTTCCATCAATGCAACACAATTAAATCAAACTGTTTCTGATATGTTATCATCTTCTACATGGCCAGCTGTCGACGTTAGTATTCTACATTTTTTCTTGAAAACAAAATTATAATAACAAAAGTATATCCAAAAGTACTAAATATTATTTTTTCGACAGTTCAGCAATAATAACCACATGAAACAACGAACTCCTGAAGACACAGCCCTCATTTATATGGCTATGCTTCTCCCCGGCACTCCAATTTTGAATATTAATGATTCTCTTCCGTACAAAGAATCTTTTGCTAAACTAACAAAGGCTCGACAAAATGTTCAATTCCAACATGGAAAAACATCAACATATGTTCTGAATAACGGAACTGTATTCTCTTACACACGGTAAGTTCGTTAATTTTGAGTACGGAGTTCTATAACGAATAACATTAAATTTTAATAACATTCAATAAAAATTAACAATTTTTCATGCTACATTTATTATGGATGTAGTAATTTGTAAGTATGAATGCACTCATGATTATTGACCTTTGATAAATTATAGATCTAACTTTTTGGAGGAAAATGTTGGTACCAAATATCCAAAATCTAAGAAACTCTCCTTTTCTTAGTAATGTTTTGATTTCTATCGAAAAAAATATGAATTTGTTTTAATTTTGGTACTCCATTTTCGTCTGAATATACAATTTGTTAAAACATCAACTCATATTATTAATAATCATGAACACAATGACGAAAATTGTCTTCAACTCAAACCATATTTGAATTTTAATTTCCAAATGAATTTTTCTTCACAGGGTAAAGGTTGGTAATCCTGGATATGTAGTTATTTATAACAGTGATATCCAGAATAAAACTGTGGATATAAGCTCGTTTGACCAAATTGCTGATAGTATTGAAGTCCTTGCACTGAGCCCTAATCACTTCCCCATTACCGAAATGCCACAGTAAGTATTTAAATAAGTGTAATTTAATTTATGATAAAAAAACATTTTATAAATAATACATAAAATTTTTCAGAAAATTGAAGTCAGATACTATATATATGGCACCAAAGAGTACTTTTATAGGGGAGTACATAGTTCAAAAATCAGCAGAATAATTATTTTCTGCCACATTCCAAATGTTATTAGCATAAAATATGCTAAGCTTTATTTTTTTTGTCTTTATCATCTAATGAACACAAACCAAAAACTTTATTTTCAATGAATTGGAATGTTTACGTCCAGTTCAAATGCTAATGAATAAATTTTTCCTTAACATGTCAAAAACTTATTTATTTTTATAACCTAATCATTTTGTACACTTTATATACATATTTATAAAAATTTATGAATATTTTTTTAATGCTATTCATAATGAATTTTATGAGGATCCGTAAATTTGACTGTAAGAATATAAAATGCAGCTGGTAAAGGTACTAAAGCAAGCATTGCTGGATGAATGTCTATTCCTTGTAAAGATGCAATAGCGATTATACCATAAGCATGAATCAAACAATGACCCAAATTTACAACAATATTTTTCACGTCCGTTACAGAATTCATAAATAGAACTTTCATATGCTGAAAATAAAAAAAAGTCATTATGATAACCATAAATTCTTATTAAATAAATGGTTTACTCACCTGATTCAATTTATATGAAAAATGTGTAGCACTTGACAGAACTGACAAGATAATTGTTATATATGGAAATGAATAATCTGCAAATTTTAATAATGACTGTTGAATAGCTCAGAAAATGTTTATAATATTCATATGCTCAAATCAGCATTTACTTACATATGAGTCCACTTCCTACAGCATGCAACATTGCCAGAATTGGAAAAAAATAAAGCGCAGCATAAACTGAATATTTTCCTTTTGCTGGTAAGAATTTCTTTGCCATGAACGGCCTTATTAGTAGCATAAGAAATACAGCAAATGCATAAAATACAAATACTATTGTGTAGCTAGAAAAAACAAATAGATTATTGTGATAAATCTCATTAAAATAAATATTATTGTACTTTAAATAATGGATTCAAGAAACTTACAGAGGATACACTGCTTCTTGGGTACAATGTAAAGTATTTTCATAATTGGGACTTGGGTTGTGCATAAGTGTATACCAATCTGATAACTTTTGTGTATTACATGATAAAATATTGAATGATCCCAATGGCTCAGTAAGTAGCAGAGTAAATATTGCAGCTCCCAATGTTTCAAAAAAAGCAGAAAAGTGCAAAATTAAAGATCCTTTGTTGAATCTACGTCTTTGGGACACTGTATCTATACAAAACCAATGTAAAACCAGGCCCAACAAAGCCATAAAACCTAAGTACAACCAGTCATAAAAAGTTGGAGAATCTTCACAGGGTAAGCATATAGATGAACCATTTGATCTAAATCCGCGTGGACAAGCTCCACATTTCGACCAGTTTCCACTTGTCAATAATGTCCTCCCACAGTACATACCAGGGCACCGTGTTGAAGATAGATCATACATTTTTTTCCAAAATTTTGTATTTTTAAAAGTATTTTATTGCAATAGAATCTATTTGTGATCTATCTAAAATTAAAATATAAAAATTTTATTCACTATGATTATACTGATAATAAGCCTCTTTTTTACTTTACCAAGTTGATTGGTTTTATGGTGGCAGGTCAATTATCATATTCATGTTTTACTCATTTCAGTTGACTCGTTGTTTTGACTTTTTGAATCAAAATATTTTGATCGACGAAAAAATAGGTAAATATAACCTCGCACAATAAAATATGTTTGTTTTTTGATACAAGATTCTCAAGTTGTGAGAAAGTTTCGAATCAACAGTCTTTGAACGTCTAGTTACTAGGATTTATCTTACCCGAAAGATATAAAATTTATAGAATGATATAAAAATGATTTGGCGTACGTCTAATACGACTGTCTATATGTTTCAATTCAACTGACAAGCAACAGACGATAAATACTGAAGCACAATTGATGTTATTAAACTGTGCCCGATGAAGGAAAAGCGCATGCGTCGTTTAATAATTGATATAGCGGCATTTAAGTTTTCAACTCAGTTAATTAATTGTGAAAGAACTGACCCTCATTTGGTCAAAATAATTTCAAGACTTATCGCTCGATTTTTTTCGATGTTAAACCTAAATATAAAGGTACTCACACTTGAATAGAAAAATTAAATGAATTCATTGAAAAATCTCGTCGTGAAATTCAGTTTAGAATATAAACTATCCAAATAGAAATGAGCAAATATAATATTTGTATTTGTAAATTTTAGTCGGAGTTGTGTTTTTGTTTCTGTCAGTGCGATTACATTTTTCCGATCATCACGAGCGAAGATGCTCTCGTTGCAGAGGCTGTCGCTGCAAAAGCAGCAGAGAAAAAAAATATGACGGTCGCCGAACCACGAAATTTCAAGATCTCATGTTTCAATCTCATTATCTTATTTTCATCTACTGTTAGCCAAGCTTGTGCTTAAGATACTTCAGATGTATTTTGAGAGAAATGTAACAGAAACATTTCGAGTGAGAATTTTATCAATGAATTTGATAAAGAATTTGAAACTCTTTCAAATGGTCACGAAGATACACGCGTTAATACAAATAATAATGAATGTGTCATGTGTCAGGTTATGTGCGATTAAATAAATACGTGTATAAATATCAAAGCTAATTTCATTATTATAGCTGAAAAGTGATATTAAACTTCATCGATCTAAAACAACTTGACAGAAGTTAGACAACCTGGTCAACTGGACAGTTGGAAGCTGAAAGGATAAATTTCATAACGGGAAAAGATGATTTGTGTAAACTCTCCAAGGTTTGTTTCAAAAATTTTATTATTCATCAAGTGAACAAACTTTAAGAGAATACGTTTTACTGTTGAATTGTATATTTACGATTGAGAGAAAAATAGATCAAGCCTTATTATGTAGTTTAATCCATGGTTAAAAGTAAAATTTTGTACCAAACTTATCAATGACAAAATGCTGTAATTTGACGACTCATTTATAAATTTAAATAATATGTAACATTTTATAATCAAGTTATTTGATCAGTTATATCGTTTTTATTAAAACGTTATGCTAATGTTAAAATGAATAGGATGTTAGTGAAACATTATTAAAAACCAAATATCAGAGTAAAATTTTTATATCAATTACTCGATTACAGGTCAAACCAATCACTGTTATTGTTGTAGCTGCTGCTGCGGAGAGCTTACTTCCTGTTGTATCATTCGGCTGCTGGTTCAGTATACTTGACTAAAACCAAACGATTGATCTGAGACTACTTGCCATTCAGTGAATGATAGATATTCTTAAAGGAGTTGTTGTTTTATGGAACTGCAGGATCTTGCACTTCTCTTACTTAAAAATTAGAAAAATGAAATACTTTAAAACATAAAATTACAATTTTTCTCATTATTTTCTTGATACTATATTATCATTATAAATTTTCAGATGTATTAAAAACTGCTGATCCAAAGCCAGCTTTCCCAGATGCTGATGCTGGATCTTTAGTAGACTCCATGCCACAAAAACAAGGGATGTAACGTCAAGATGTTCTTGCTGCTAATATTAAAATTTTCAAAGTTCGAGTAGAGAGGCTCTTGATAAATGCGCCAAAAAAGTTGTTAAAGTTTTGGTTGTTGGAAGTACAGCAAATAACAACATTATAGTACTTCTTTGAAGTACAGGTAATTAATTTTAACAATAGACAAATTTGAATTTATAAAATTATGTTAATTGATCTATTTTTCTAAGGTACTCTTGGGTTGATAATCCCGGAAGAAGTTCTTTAGAAGACAAACGGTGGAGCAGAATTGGATAGTACTGAATTATCTCCTGGTGTACAAAGGGTACTTTGTTTAAGTTAAAAAACAATCATAATATGCATGTAATAATGCAGATTGGTGTGAGTATGTGTAGAGATAATGTGTGATATGTGCCTAAATGATATAAACAATTGATGCCTATAAAGCGATTATTTTATCACAAATAATTTAAGAATCATTATTTGAAAATACAAGTACAAATGATACTTGAGTATAAAAATATAATATTACTCAAAAAACAATTTTCATTTGCAGCAAGTTATATTCTTGTAGAAACAAAAAAAATGTAAAATATTATATAATTATAATAATAAAAAAGATTTAACTAAATTCTTTCTAGTTTTCTAATGCTGATAACCCTGAAATTGTGATCCTTGAATCGAGTACTTTTTAAAAGTAAATTTTGAACTGTTAGATAAATGTCAAAAAATCAAACTACTTTAACATCAGGCTTTCATTGCATCACTAAGTGAACTAAGACACTTTTTATAACGTGGAGAATGATTGGAAATATTGATTCTCCTCGTAATTAAACGCAATGGTTTTTATTTAAGTAATAACAGGTGAAGCAAGTCACGTTTTTTGAGATAACTGCTGAATATTTTTTTGGTAAACTGCTTTGAGTCAATAAAAATGAAAGTAAGTCAGAAAGAATTTTTTAACAAGAATATCATTCTAATCTGAATCTGAAATATCAGTGCCCAAGTTGTTTTTGATTTGCAGTAAATTTTAAAACACCCCCAAAAATAACAATATGAGATGAATTATTAATTCATGCAAAATCAAATATTTTTATGTTTATTTTTTGGG